TACCCGATGCTAAATTTCGTGAATATAGAACAAACATAGACTCCCTCGCATACGTCAATCTAGGCGTAAGTCAGTACTCTGTGCAAAATTTTGTCTCAATCGGTCAAATATTAGCAATATAGCACACCATTTACATACAACCGGACGAAACTATATATGAGAGTTATATCTAAATCTTACCCGATTTCAACAAAACTTGACACGTATCAATCTATACCAATATTAAGAGTTTGGTGCACCATTCCAACAAAACTTCGCATACATAAATCTAGGCGTAAGTCAGTACTTTGTGCAAAATTTTGTCTCAATCGGTCAAATATTAGCAGTATATCGCACCATTTACATACAATCGGACGAAACAAGCACATATCAATCTAGACCTAAGTCTGTACTCTGTGCAAAATATTGTCTCAATCGGACCAATATTAAGAATTTGGTGCACCATTTAGGACGAAAATATATATGGAAGCTATAACTAAACCTGAATCAATATAAAAACTTGCCACACGTTATTGTAGACCCATTTCGTTACGTTGCGGAGGAAAACCTGAACCGATATCAATAAAACTTGGCACACGTTGAGCAAGCCTAACTTCGTACGTTGTGCGAATTTTCGTGCCAATCTGCTTAAATTTGACTCTTTGGTGCACTAAAAATCTTTGGTGCACTAAAAGAAAAAATATATGAGAGATATATTTAAATCTGAACCTATTTCAATAAAAATTGGCACAAGTTTGGTTATCCTAACTTTAGTACGTTGTGCAAAATGTTGTGCAAATCGGACGGTTTTTAGCCCCATTTGCTAAAATAATGGACGAAAATATATATGGGAGCTATATTTAAATCTGAAATAAATGATCTGTGCCAAATTTCATCACATTCGTATAATAAATGCGACCTGCACTATGTTTACAATTTAGCATTGATAGACAGACGGACGGACAAACGGATATGCATTAATCGACTCAGGAAGTCATTCTATGCATATTCTCAAAAGGTACCATGGGTCTAACTCATTTCCTTTTGCCTGTTATAAACATATGCACAAAGACATAATATCCTGTAGCACAGTGTGGTGGAGGGTATAATTAAACATTTTTTGAGGATTACAAGCTAATCGTTTTCGAAGATGTCCTCCTCTTCCCTATCAAATTGTTATTTATAAAGGGATATCAGAGTCGAATTGGTGTTTTGATTATGTTCTATGTCTAAACAATGACAACTTAACACGCCATGATTCTTTGTGTCTCCCCTTGACCGAATTTTCTACGACGAAATTTTCTATTTTAAGGAATATCTTTCGACTTCTTCAATTTCCCGACTTTTCGGCGAAAGGATAAGGATAGGATAAGGCCTCAGTTTCATTTTTTAGAACGGAAATGTTCCCTAATATATTCAAAAATTAAAAATCGCATGATACGACGATATGGCTTTGCTAAAATTTGGACCGATATAGCCTATTTTTGAATGTGACCTGCATGAAAGTACTTCATAGACTGTAGACGCGTCTGAATTGTCTTATATTTTTTAATTTGAGTGATTATTTATATGATTTCGAGTCGAGCTTGATGATCTAAGTTTTGCAATGAAAAGGAAAGCCAGGAGAAGAACCTACGTACCCACCATTATGCGACGCGTTTCGCCGTTGGTTAAAGCGGCTCATCAGGCATATTGGGCTATGTTGGCTTTACAAAGGTCGTACGTTGATAACTTGTATTTATTCCGCCCTGATGCGAAACTTGCATATGCGAATTAAATTCAAATTTGTCAAATTTCGACATTTGTCTTCAATTCTAGGAACAGTCCTTTTCAAAGCAGATTTTTGTTGTAGCGATGGATAATTAATCCACACACCTACAATTCAATTCATTGCAAAACTTAGATCATCAAGCTCGACTCGAAAGAGTATAAATAATCACTTAAAAATTACCTTCAAATGATCACTGCCCTTACAAGGCGAAATTCAAATAACAAAATTTTTTTTTTTTAATTTGTTTATGGACAGAAAATATTGTTTCAATTTAAACAGAATTATAAATATTGGAGGATGACAATATATCTCAAAGTAGTGTTTATTATAATATATTCGGTCCGACCAACATTCTTTGTCATTCCCTTAACCAGGGAAATTCTATTAGGGTTCGGGTGATTATTTTGAAACCTTCATTTTTTAAAACAGTTATTTGTTTTCCTTAAATTATCTTTAACCATTGTCCGAATCACATTACCTAAGACTCACAGATAAACAATTGTGATAAGCTAATTCAAATTCTTAAAACCATTTGATGTCTGCTTGTCCAGTGGCTTCACAGCTTTTTCTGGAAATAAAAAAAAAACAAATAAGCAAACAGAAAAAAGGAAATGACAATTTTGCAAAAATAAATTAAATTCTGATAAGAAAGATTTGCCTGATGCCAGTTACTGCTAACTTGACTGCCTGTTGCTGTTCTTGTTGCATTCAGAAAAAAACCTACATATGTATATGTATGAATGTAAGTTCTCCGAAACAACAGACATTCTGGTCAGCATACGTACATATTTTATGGACTGCCTGGGCTGACTGTGGGTTTAGTCATTCAAATGGAAAAAATTCCTGGTAAAAAGTTCAACACATTCTGCAACCCTCTCACAGGAAGTGTGTGATGCGCATGTGCTGCTTAAAATGTCTCCAGCAAAATTGTTGGAAGTTACTAGATGTTGGCCTGTTGGAATTTTCATTTCATGTGAATGTAAGGAAGAGAGTACAAGGAAATTCTCTTAAGAGAACACATTTTATTTGTGAGAGAATTTAATTCCAAAAATTGTTGCTTTTCCTACTGGTTGGTAAAATTCTTGTCGTCTGGGCGTTAGAGAAATTTACTTCGGGAATAAAAGCTTTTTGGGACAAACATGCTTGATGTTCTAGCAGTAAAATTGTCTTTGTTGGCTGTTTTTATAGCAGTTCTTCTTGGTTACCTTTTTTTTGGCAAATGCAATTTTCAAGGATGTGCTTTTTCTGTTAATGGTAAGTAGTTAAGTCAAAGAAATACGTGCTTTTGTGCAAACGTTACTCTTTTCGCTTCTGCCGCAGACACTGACTCGCTTTTGGATGTCATCATCGTGCTAATCTTGCACTCTGGTGTAAAGTGTGGAGGATATATGAGTGTCACATGCATAATTTATTAATTATAATGACTTAGTAACATTATACAACAAGGTCTCCTCCATAAACCTGATGATATGTAAAGAATAAACGACGACGACAAAGATGAAGACAACGTGGCGATTATAATCAAGCTTATATTCACAGTTTTTAAGAAATCCAATTAAATATCATTCGACTAAAAGGCATGATGAAAATCCGGAAGTTTAATACAATTAGAATTGAAATTTGTAGATAAAATTATTATTTGGTAAATATAGAAATGAGTTAAAAGGACCAATTATATCTAAGTTACAGAACCTTTTTTGATTGTCCAAACCAAATACACTGTGCAACAAAATTTTGAGGGTGGAAAATTCTTTATGAGAATGAAATCCCTTGGCAAGTGGATTAAGGACAAATTCGCTATAGGTCAAGTTTTTTTTCACCCCGTATATCTTTGGTACCTCTAAGCTTCACTTATTAGATCGTGAAGACCCCTTGCGATATAACCTTCTTCTGTGGACGAATTATCTCGTTGGGCCGTAATGCCTAAACAGATATCTCATCGGCATCATTTTGGAACAGGGCCTATAAAACTTTGAGATAATTAGTGACTGGAATTATGAGTCCATTGAACAGCAAATTTAATGATAGTCTAATGACCGTGTCCTTTAGGTAGAGTTTGGTCGTTGACTTCGTGGAGGATATATGTATACCACTAGACGAGAGAAAATTAAAAATCGTTTTGTGTTGCGTCTGTAATTCGCATTGGTTTTGGCTCTAATACACTAAAATACACTGCCAACCTCTTGACGTAGGCTGTTAAAATTTTGTTCACATATTATTTATATCAAAATAACTACGGGTGTGGAAAATGTGATCCTGGGTTCATGTTTTCATATAGACCCCATATAACCGTAGTTCCCGCTTAAAGTATTTTGTATCTGCTATTCATATTTTACAAACAAATTGGAAGAAATTTGGCAGTTCTCAATGTGTACAAAATATCTGTGCAAACATTTGTCGATGTTGGTCCACGTTTTTTGCTAGCCTCCATAAAGAGATAGCCATCTTTTGAGTATTCATCTAAATATTGGAAACAAAACTCATTAACTGGCAAACTACTTAGCACAGGCTGTCAAAATTTGGCTCACATATTTTTTATATCAATACAACTACTCATATAAAATGGGTCCATATTTTCTTATAGCCCTCATTTAACCTTACCTCCCGATATAAGGTAATTTTTAACTTTTATCCTTATTTTACAATTAAATTGGCAGTAATTTATCACAAAGAGTTCGCAATGTGTATACAGTATACATGCAAAAATTTATCGAAGTAGGATGTCTATCGACAATTTGAAGACCTACCTTGGGTACATGACTTATGGTCCATCTAGTTGCTTAAACATCACCATTTGTATAGGGAACTTCTTTGCCGACTAATCGCCTTTTTGTATTAAAAATTATTTATTTACTTCATAATCGCAAGAAACGAGTGGACCATAAAATTCGCAATTATACAATTTTTTAATAGAATCGAATAAACAACAAATGCCCATAATTGTTTGTAACAATCTATAAAAAACACAATAAAATAAATTTTCTGATTTTTTTAACAATTTGCTGATCACAGTCAGTTTTTATGTCTAATACCAAACAAAACTCGTACAATCTATAACATTTATTAATATCATATAATATAGTAGCATATTAAAAAAATCCAGCCAAACTTCCGGTTTTGGTAGGCTTATTCGAATTACTACAACAAATGATTATGATTTGATATATTCATAAAGAGGTAATTTTATGCATTGACTGTACAGCTTCAGAACTCGATCATATAAAAGAAGCCAGTGGTGACGATAACAGGTCATAGTCAAACGAACACATCTTCAATCAACTACAAACAGATCAAATCAACAATGCGTGCCTTCGTAGTTTTGTGCTTGGTGGCTGTTGCCTGTGCCGATAAATTGGGTTATAACTATCAACCTGTTCGTCACTCTTCATCCGGATTATCTTTCCAACCTGGTTCTGTCGGCAATGTAGCTACCACATATACTGGTGGTGTTGTTTCCTACGGAGGTCAACAAGTCTCCGTTGCTCCCAGATACACTGGTGGTGTCAGTTCTTATGAAGGTCAAGGCTCTGTTGGTACTCCCTCATTCGTCCCACAAGCTGAACTCGAAAAGGAATTCTACACTTACACCGCCAACGATGCCGATTTCAATGAACCCGCCGGCTCTGAACAATTGGCTAACTCTTTGAAGAAGGGTCTCCGTGTTGTCTTCATCAAGGGCCCCGAAAACAATGGTTTGGAAGAAGCTGCTTTGGCTTTGGCCAAACAAGCTACCCAACAAGAAACCGCCATCTATGTTCTCAACAAACAAGCCGATCTTTCCAGTTTGGCCAACAAACTTAACACCATCAACACCGGCAACAACAACAAACCCGAAGTTCACTTTGTCAAATACCGTACTCCTGAAGATGCTGCCAACGCTCAACGTGCTATCCAAGGTCAATACGATAATTTGGGTGGTCGTTCTCACAGCATCAACGGTGGTGTTGCTCCCGTCATCAACTTTGCGTCACAGGCTCCCGTTGCCCCTGCTCCTGCTACTTCTGCTCCTGGTCCTAGCTACTTGCCTGCATCTATTTTCCGTCATTAGGAAGCCATGCTTTTAGTTACATATCTGTAGACTGATATGCGCTTAGTTATAAGTTTTCATTGTTGTTGATATTTTTGTAGTTAAATAAATGAAATTGTTATTATTGTATTAAATGGCATTCTTAATTTTATACCCCCACCAGTCGGCGTCTGGAGAGTATTTAGTGATGCCCGTGTGTCTATTGAAATCACAATACAGATCGCAATATTTGAGATGGAGCTTTGAACTTGTGCACTGGCATTGATATTACCCCTAGGATGGTTGGTATATGGGTTTTGTATATCCCCCATACAACGGTACTTCACAATATTTGGTATTATAGAAATTGTTATATACAAGATATTGCGGAAAAATATTTGTTTTTGGTCCGAAAAAAAATGTCATCATATAAATTTTTTAATTTTATACAAGAAATTTCAGAAAAAAATGTTGGGGTTATTCTGCTATTTTACCCGAATTTCGTCCAAAAATTTACGTATATAAAACAATCACTTTTTGTGTATAAGTATACGCCTTGCAGATTATATCAAGACCCTTCCGATAAATAAATAGGAATAAATCTTAAAATAAAATAGTATTATGAAATATGCATTTCTTAGTCACAAATCAATAGAGAACAAAAAAACTGGTTCGCCTCAACCTGTTTTTACAATTTTTATACCCTTCACCACACTGTGGTACAGGGTATTATGTCTTTGTGCATATGTTTGTAACAGGCAAAAGGAATCGAGATAGACCCATGGTTCCTTTTGAGAATATGCATAGAATCACTTTCTGAGTCGATTTATGCATGTCCGTCCGTCCGTCTGACCGTCCCACAGTGGTTTAGAACACCCTGTTTTCTTGGATTAATTAAAAAATAAAATTTTAAGTATCGTTAAAAATTTTTGCACACTGTTAAAGTATATAAAATTCTACGTCACTTGTCGTTAAAATAAATGTCAAAAGTGGACTGGTGTTTTTGTAGTGAAACTTCAAAGTCAAACTTCATAGAAATTTTTGTGCCAAAAAAGCTGAAAAAAGTGAAAACGTTCCCGTTGAAATTTTTATTTATTTTAAAAAGTATTGTAAAAGTTAAACATTTTTCAATGGAAACATGAAGTTTAGGTTATTTTGCAAATACTTCGTTAATATTTGAGTATCAAATTGTGTTTGGAAGTGATTTAAAAGTAGTAATTTATATTGAAAATGCCAAAAAAATAATATTTTTATACTTTAAATGGATAAATAGTTATGATTCGTCCACATTCGTGTGATAATTTTTAGTTTATATTAAAGAGGACATAAATCTGTGTTATATTGCAAAATTTTACGCTGCCCTTTTGTGCCTTTTAGAAGCTATGCATTGTTTAATACAAGTGTTGCAGCAGTCAAATTAGCTAAAAGTCACATTGATCTCGTGACTGGTGCTGTTGTTGAGTGTTGTGTTTTCTTGTTTTTCATGTTATTTTTTCTAATTATTTTATTGTTGTTATTTTTGTTTCTTTTAATAATATTCTTTGTTACAATAATATTTTGTTTTTGTTTATTTTAATAATATTCTTTGTTTTGACAAATAGTGACTGTGTTGTGCAGTTTCAAGTAATCGGGTAAAAGGATTTTTTATTAGCATTTTTTATAGATACAAGTTCGAACGTTGTTTTTTATAATCGTCGAAGCTTATGATGAATTCGAGGGCTCAAACAATGACTAATAAGATGACATTTTTAGCTAAAGAAATCAAAAAACGCACCAAAACGCTAAAAAATCTATCTGCCGAAATAACAAAAACATATGTTAATTTAATAAAAATGCACGTGTCGGTTATAGCTGTAACCAGTGGCCATGAGATTAATGATGAAAATTTTCAAATATATACACACAATACAGGACGAAACGTATCCTTGGTATAATATGCCTACCACTTTGCACAAGTTTTTTATTCACGGACCCGAAATTGTGTCAAATGTCCCTTTACATATTATGCAGTTATCAGAAGTTGGTGATGCTGCGGACAGAGATGGTCTGTCAGAAACAGAGACGTAAATGACATACATTTCCGATGTATAATACATACGTCGGAAACCGACTCAAAACCATTAGGTTTTTGATAAAATAGATTTAGATTTATCGATTTGGAAATAACGTATGCTTTACTCAAATCCATCCATCCATCAAATCCATTTTTCTCAAGTTCAGAAATTTTTATAAGTTCTAAATTTCAGAATTTTTTATAAGTTCTAGTAAAGAATATCCAGATATACAGTAAAAATAATATATGTTCTTGAAAATTACTGTATATGGTGATAATATTGAAATAAATGACGTTTACTACATTTTATACAGGTATATGACGTTTTCGACGTTTAGACCATTTTGACAGTTGAAAACCTGAAAATTCATCATACGAACCATCCCTGGCTGCCGGTGATGATGATGTGGATAATTATCTTTAAGATGTATAAAATTCAATGTTTAAGTTCTCATATTGTACTCCTTGCACTTTATACCTACACTGATATTTGGCATTACTTAATAAAATTATACTCAAATATACTTAGAAAACATTTTTTTATACTTATTTCAATGGTATTAACTGAAAATAAAGAAAAATTATTCTAACATAGCTTCCCTGATTTGATCCAAGAAAACAGGGTACCTAACCCACTGTGCGTCCGTCCGTCTGTTGATGTTAAATTGTAAACAAAGTACAGGTCGCATTTATAATCCGATTTGGCTGAAATTTGGCACAGCTCATTTATTTGGCCCAAGGACGAACCCTATTGAAATTGGGAAAAATCGGTTCAGATTTAGATATAGCTCCCATATATATTTTTGTCCGATTTACGGTCTTTAGTCCCGGATAATCATTCGATTTGCACGAATTTCGGTATAGCGTACTGAATTAAGACTAAAATGATGTGTGCCAAGTTTCGAGAAAATCGGTTCAGATTTAGATATAGCTCCCATATATAGTTTCGTCCGATTTAAGGTAAATGGTGCACTAAAGTCCCTCTATATCTTTCGATTTGCATGAAATTTGGCACAGAGTACTGAATTAGGTCCAGAATGATGTTTGCCAAGTTTCGAGAAAATCGGTTCAGATTTAGATATAGCTCCCATATATATTTTCGTCCGATTTAATGTAAACGGTGACGTCCGATTTTACACAAAATTGACACAAACTTTTCACAACGTACTGGAGTTAGAATAACCTAGAAGTTGGTTTTAAATGCTTTACCATTGTGAGTCCAATAGGCACAACAATTTGCTCTACGTACTGATGTTACTATAACGTAACGTGTGGCAAGTTTAGTTCAAATCGGATTAGATTTTGATATAGCTTATATATATATACGCTTATAATTGATTTTCATAATTTTGTCCCTGGTCCTTTAAAAATTCGACGTCTTTTAGGTTTCATCTGTTGGGTATACCGAAAGTGGTGAAGGGTATCATATAGTCGGCCCCGTCCGACTTTACTGCTTTCCTTACTGGTTTTACATTAAAGTAGACACAGCTTCCACCAAAATAAAGTTTGGAGGTCAATATCGTGAACAGTTTGCAACAACAGATCAATTAACCCAAAACTATTCACTTTTTTTTCATATACTTAAGTATTTCCCGAGTTATAAAGGGGTGAACCTCTGATGTTATGGGCAATATCACCCAATGTAAATTGTGGTGGCTGAAGAGATCATATGCAACGTAATAATATTTTCTTCGCGCTGTGACTCTAGGTTGTACTCTATAAATAGCCGGTTGAAAATGTTGAACTATCAATTTGCTCGACCTTGCCTCTTTGGTCATTACATACATAAATCGGAATGACATAGGGTAGATAGAGGGAGGCATCTTTGAACACTTGTTGCATCGAATAAATAATAATAGGTACAAATGTAACCCAACTAATAGGTACAAATGTAGCTAAAATCGGAGTAAAATATATATATGGGAGTTATATCTAAATCTGACACGATTTCAACGAAACTTGCCAGAGATTATATTAAGATGGCCTAGTTTTGAGTTTTAGTTACTTTAAATCGGACGAAAATATATATGGGAGCTATATCTAAATCAGTGCGATATGCTAAATTTCGTGCAAATCGAAAGATATATATGAACTTTGGTGTACCATTCATATTAAATCCGAGGTTATTCTCTTAGATTAACCTACCATATACGTTCGTTTCAAACTGGCTGGAATGAAGAGAATTCGAAAAAAAACATTCCGAGATTCAGAGATGAAATTTTAAATTTTAATTTTTTTTAATTAGTGTAGGTTCGAATTAAATATTTCATGAGAAGGCTTCGGATCTGCTATAATAAGACCTCCTGCGAAGAACTTTTGATCTTCTAAATTTTGGATTTCTATGAGAAGACCTACTAGCCTTCAATGACAAGAAAAATTGCTCTTCTTAATTTTCTTCGTAAATGTTAAACAATAATTGTATAAATAGAAGGCAGTAAGTTCATCACATAAAATACCATACATTCTTGTCACAAAGGACCAGAATGTCCAGAATGTGAGGAACATTTGATCATCTATGTAAGATCAAATGTTCCTCACGTAGAATAATAAAATTCCTTCTCCTAGAAATCTAGAAGATCCGAAGTTCGTCTCATAGTTTAACCTAACATATACGTTCTTTCCAATCTGGCTGGGACCAAGAGAATTCGAAAAAAATATTCCGGGTATTTTATGAGATTATCACTTAAAATTTTAAAGGAAGATTCTTTAATGAGTGTAGGTTCGAATTAAATATAAAACAAAATGGGAATTTAAAAAAAAAAACGGAGAATCGAGGGAGGGGGCCTTAAATAAAATATTCATATTCAGAAAACATGTTTACAAAAAACTTAAATATTATACACGCACCCTAGAGAAGGAAATGTCTGTCTGGCAGATAAATGCCTTGAGAGGAGCCACTGATTTTGTTCAAACTTTGCTATATTTCTATCAGGCCTAAACTGTGCTCGTAGATGGAGAATATCCGACCGTATCCGACTTCCAGTACCTC